TGCCAGTGGCCGGGGGAGATATCCCTAAGACAGCTATGACGACACCTCTTGAACTGTTCGGGTTTGTATGCATGCCGTCCGGCCTGAGATACGCTGCAAAAACATTCCAAATATTTATGGACAACTTACTTCAGAGTATGCCATTTGTGCAGGGGTATACTGACGATTCGTTAACTGCCAGTCCGGATTGAAAATACATGAACGACACGTGGGAGCAATGTTATGATGACTGAATGAAAATGTACTAAATGTACATCAAAGTGAGTTTTCGGTGCTCAAAATCTAGAATTTCTCGGACATACAATAAGCCCAGAAAGGATTACACCATCATAGAAGAGGTGGACACCACTGCGCAGTACCCGATATCAAGCCCTCTAGCTTCAGTCAACTCTCATCGTAAATTCATACCTAGTTGAGCACAATTCATCTTCATAGCACTGTGATATACTAAATGGATATCTAATCCACAATACAGAAGCTGTAACCATCTGATTTGCTTGTAATTTGGAACTAGTTGAGACAGTATATTCTAGCAAAGACCTTGGATTGCAGCAACATTGATACACACCACAAAAATAAGAGAGCCTAACATCCTAAAAGGAGGTAGGTTGTTGTTGCTAACCAGCAAACATGATGGTGAAGAGATAACTTCGATCCACCCACGTCTGTAGGGCAGAACATTTTGTTAAATTACGGCTCCTTACGGTCACGTGTTGATGTAGCAAATCAATGGTAATAATGCCAATTTATTATAAAACATACTTCTTTAAGTCGTGTTTGTGACGTTGAAATGGTTTCACTCTTAATGGAGTAATCCTATTACAGACAAAACTAGACGATTTGCTAAAAACGAAGCCTGCTCATGATCTTATAAAATCAATGAAAACAAAAAATGAGATGAAATAGCCTCGATAAACATGGGTGATAGCCATTTGTGTATCAGAATACTGCCTTCAGTACTATATTTAAAACTTCACATGATAGCATACTTTCACCTCCATTTATACAGTTCATTGTCCATATTTACCATGTTTACGTTTGTTTTCTTTGATCTACTATAATGATCTTGTTAACAAAGTACCTTAATAATAGAAAATTAGACTAAGAAGTCATCCTTTACTATTTCACCACAACTGACTCAGTTTCAATATGCATGAACGTTGTCAGATTTGCTTCTCGTCCTTTCTTTTTCCTATCCTCTTTTTCAGACCTCTCAAGATATGTCACTGAAAACGCGGATGGAGAAAGTGACTTCGTACTGCGCCATCATTAATGCCTCGGGTGTTCCATAGGGATATAAGTTTGTAGAATTACGGTCTACTACGATATCAGTACCACTCTAATGACAGACTTAATCTAAAATTGTGAATTTGTCATGATGTAAGTGCCTAATGTATAAGATCTTACGTGGAAGTCACATTATCATCTACACCAACTCATCGCATTGTAACAACCATCAATATATGATGAAGAACACACTTAGGCTAGAAACAGATTAGTATATTTAGTATGAATAAAAGGTATATGTTAACACTCAATAATGACCACGCCTGCAAGGCCGAGCCATGCCATCCGGTGGATTCGATTCATTTCAGTGTTCCCGCCTTCAACATAGTTGGGTTTATCTCCGCATTGAAATTTAAATGTCTATTTTCTCAGTTGTCTCGTGTTCAACTTTGAAGATTAAGTGATTGGAGCACAATGCCACTACAAGGTCACGGTTTTTAGAAGCTGTCAAATTTACGTGATTACTCAGTTGCACGTTACAACACAACCTTCTTAAAGCGCGCCAACTGTCATATTGACAATACGGACCTTACTAATATTATTTGCATTCATATGTGAGAAATATCATCATCCATACGTTTATGATCAGGCAGGTGCCTTATTCATGAACCCAATAAAAAATGGAAATATTCATACAAGTAGGCAGCCTGCATGAATATCTGATTTGTCCGTTCCTTTACAATTTAGGTTTTTCGCTAAGTATCAGAGAGGAGTTTCGTGGAGATTGTAGTGATTTCAATAAGTTGTCATTTCTGTTTGTTTTAACACACCAGTTATGCTCATTATTCGCATAACCTATTTGGGAGCGTAGATGAAGAATTAATGATCATTCACTTTACACGGTGCAAAAAATTAAATCCAGAAAGAGCGGCGGCTGGCGATTTTCATTGAAAAGTGTGAACTTTAATCAAATTTCGATTCTAGAACTTTTAACTGGTTGAGATGTAGCCACATTTGTAAACGTAAATCGGCGTTTCAAGTTTTCAACTGACAGTCGACTGTTTAACCTTAGAATGCCGTTCAAAGCTCTAGCAAACACAACCATGTTCATGTGACTTTCGTTTCCTCGACCCCAGAACACACATTTTCTGTACTATCTGCTTTCGCGTATGAATTTGTAATAACTTATGTTAGGTGGTTGATAGTCGAATTCTTTATTTCTGACTGTAGAATAGTTTAATGGTCAGTCGAAAAAACACTTGATAACCGAACAATGCATGGGAAGGTCACACACTGAGCGATGGAGCGATTCACCATTAGGCCACAAAAATCGAACCGACATGTTTTGGTTTAATGAATTTATCAAACGGCTTTTCCCATGGGTTGATTTTCAGAGGAGGCTGATGTAATAGCCTAAGTAGGGTGGTCAAGAGTTGGCGGAGAATCTTTACGTAATTTTAAAACATTATAGCCTAAGTTTTGTATTCAGTTCCTTATACTGTATATCCTATATTGGATGTTGAAAGATTTTTTGTGTTTAAATTCGGATCTAGCGCCCCAATTTCTCCCTTCTACTATCTAAATAAAGACACACCACAACCACTAGTTATGCTTTTCCAGATATATAATGGTGGGTAACTACCAGAATTAAAAATTTATCGGATTTACTGTTACTCCTATCAATAGTTCACTTACGGTCATATGTGGTTATTTGCTTAATGCGATTATAGCTGTCTTTCATCACTATATTGCCGAAATGTAATCGATTTTCCCACTGCCCTGGACGAGCATTTAAAACTAGTTTTCACTACTGAATTGGAGTTATGTGTGACTTGTGGACGTGCTCTGTTGTTTAGTTCTAATCATTGTGACACTTACATCCTACATAAAGTATGTGGCTAGCTTGGAAAGAGTACGCTCTTACATCGGATAAAGAAATTTAAATACGGGAATTACTCGGACGAAAATATCTTAAATCTGAGAAACGTATGTTATATAACAAACTGGGGTTTATCTCTAATGACTCATTGGAAAAAAGAAGAATGTACGGGGAGAAAAACTCCACTGAGGTTCGAGAGCTGAATGATCTAATAAACGAAAAGATTAGACGTCTGAATTCAATGTTTACTCAGAAACTCATTTCTTTTAAAAACTGTTCAGATATGTGGAAACTATACGAAAAGCCTACAGGCCATTTAAATAAAGAATCCGGAAGAATTGAACACTCCTTGACTCTTGTATCAGTTGATGGCCTTGGTAATATCTGATTAGCTTCAGGTCACTAGAATGCGACAAAATCCGATCCATAATCCTGAAACAATGGGCGAAAGCCACCAACACACCGTTGTGTGACTGGTTCAAGCACTAACCAGACTCACAGTGACTTCTGAGAGGCTGGATAGGCTACTCTCTCAAATCTTCGAAGAGTGATATAGAAAAGGTTCGGCCTGTTACAGACAAGGAGCGTTACTATTAATAATGTCGAAGGTAATGGGATGACTGTTCAGTTTTATTAGAGACAGGTCCTGTGAGTCCAGTCTTCCCATAGAATGGGACAGTTGAACAACATGCTGCGATCAGGTGATATAAGTTCATATAATGTACTTTGACATCACAAAAGCCGTTGGCATAGAACCTCATGTAATTCTTATAAAGTTACAGAAATGGTTCACATTGCCCCACTTTTATCTTGGTCCCAAAACTACCTAGGGAACAAATTGTTTTGAACCAAGGTAGATAGAGTACACACAAGGCGAATGGTTTCAACATCAGGAGTTACACTGGGGACAATATTAAGTCCACTACCGGTCTTGATCTTTACTAACTACCTGCTAGACGAAATTGACTGAGCGGCAGCAATCTACGTGGATGACGTTAAAATATGGAGGTCTGCATAAAGCTAAGAGGATTCATTTGGGTTTCAAAGGGAGCTCACGACTTTGGAAGAATGGACAGTCAACCGTAGGTTAAAACTTAATCCTTTAGAATATCATTTCATGAACATCCGGCCCCATTTGAAATGAAGAACATACGTCCTTCATGAAAATCAACTATTCATTGTATCCTCGGAGCACAATCTTGGACTATGAGCCACGGAATGTGTGCATTAGGTGAAAATGAAAAGGGGATGCGGCTAGGGCAAACTCAACCCTCTACTCTATGCTTAAATAACTTGGCGCAACCATCCCAACGTTCCTAGCACTGTTCAGAACGTACACAAGTCCTTACCTTGAAGTCCACAATGTCGCTTCACCTTATCTCTTCAAAAGAGATATAAATCTCTTAAACCAAACACGAAACTGGAGAATCAAGTGGGTGACAGGTCTTAAACATAAATCTTACAGGGACAAACTCCAACACCTGGGATTATTCTCATTGAGCTACAGTACAATAAGCGGTGATCTGATATTGGAATACAAAATATTAGGTATATTAAGCCACCTCAACACGAGTATATTACCATAACATTATCACTACCCTCCTTGAGTTAAACGTCGGAGACTGCACACCAAAGAGCAAACACCCAGATACGCTCTCATTCTTTCTCATTAAGAGTTGCTCACATTCTGACTGCTCTCAGCCAAAGGGACTACAGCCGCATCAGTGGATATCCTTTGGACGAGACGTGACAAGCCCCTATTCACAAGTAGATTACACAATTTAACCAACCTATTGCACTAAATGCTGAGGGTTAACAAGGGCGGGAATTATGTAAATTGCGGTACATGTCTCGAGCTGGTGTTGCTTTGTTTGTTTGACCATCCTTTCTAACTATGGTCGTTTCAAATTCAAAAAAGAATATTGAGGGTTGTAAACTACCGGTAAAACTACCGGACTCAGACTTTTTCCGTAACAAACTTTTGCGTGTAAATAACATTACTAGATAATGCCGAGATTTTGGGTACCCGTGATGTAGGTGATTGTACATACTATTACGTTCACTATGATGACTGTAAGCCTTTATACTTTCTTCATTTTCTCTTACAAGATAACAAACGGCTGGATGAATGGGTTAGTGCAGATCGCCTCGACTTTTCTAAAATAGAACGACCACTAAAAAAATCGACAAAAGAACCCGTCACACCTGTTTTCAGCTTATCCTCCACTGAGGATGAAGTTATGAGTTCAGCGGAGCTCCGAACGTCGGATTCGGATTTGGTTTGTGCTTTCATCAAAGGTTGATCTGTTTTTAGAACCCTCCTCTGAAATATCGTAGCTCCAGCTCCTCTAGTTTGACTCAACTGAAAAGAAAACGACCACCTGACGATATCTATGAAGGACCCATACATTTAACGCTACAGAATGACGTGAATGATCTTGTGTTCGATGACTCTCCAACGTCAGCTGGGAAACCCAGGCAAACAGGCAGTATGGTTTCTAGCCACCATGAACAAGATACTGTTACGAGAATGAGAAATCTGGAGTGGATTGAATTAGGAAGATATCGAATTAAACCATGGTACTTTTCCCCATATCCACAGGAATTAGCAAGTGTTCCGTGTGTATATATATGCGAATTCTGTCTGAAGTATTTGAAGAGTTTCACATGTCTGCGCAGGCACTTGGTTTGAATTATTATCAGTTTTCCTTACTTTTAGGCTAAATGTACACTAAGAAACCCTCCCGGAAACGAGGTTTACCGCAAACTGCCCCACAGTTTTTTCGAAATCGATGGACGTAAAAATAAAGTGGGTTCACTCAACTGAAATGATTATTTTCAGACTTACGCGCAACACCTTTGTCTACTTGCGAAACTGTTCTTGGATCACAAAACCTTGTATTATGATACAGATCCATTCCTATTCTACGTTCTTTGTGAAATAGACTCTCGTGGTTACCATCTAGTTGGATATTTCTCAAAAGAAAAAGAATCTTCTGAAGACTACAATGTGGCATGCATCTTAGTGCTTCCACCTTTTCAACGAAAAGGTTATGGAAAATATTTGATTGAATTTAGTAGGTTGCGTGAAAATTCAGCATTTTGTAACTTATACTTTTCTCTTAAAAAGCCTGGAAAGTGAAGAACTAATGTTGATAAACAATGATCATTGTTCAAATTATTGACCAGATATTTAGAAATTAGCATTTCCTGTGGTCAGCAGTAGTTTATATTTTTAATTGAAGGTAAATCTGGGTGGCTTATCATTTCGCCTCACTAAACACAAAAAATTATGCCCAGTGTATCGCTAAGTAGCTCAGATTTTAGGGAACTAGTAGATACCATAGTTATATGGTATCATCATACCACAGGTCTATCAAAAATCGGTCTTCAGATGTGGCGCGTAACAGCTTAACCAATTGAAATGCGAATGGCACATGAAATTGATTTCTTTTTCTAATCGTTTGTGACATGTATTCATCACATCTTTTAAATGGTTAATTGTAAAGCATTGTAAATATGTGTTCATACAGTAAGCTATTGAATTACTATTGTCAATTACGACTCAGTTCAGTTTCTACGGATCTGACTGTTAATCTAACTGTGAATAAACCACTTTGATAAGTCCTTATCACCTCTCTAGTTTTGCACTCCTCTCCTTTTTTCTTGTGTTCGAATTCCCATGTAGATTTAGTCTGTTATTAGGAGCGGCTAGAAAATGTGGTCAAGCGTTCAGTTGTCAGATTTATCGGTAGCACTGATAAATTTTAGATGTTACACATACAAAGTTTATTTATTAGGATTTATTTTGCTCTTTGTTGATTCAATCAATGTGACTGATACCTTAGCTTTCTACAACTCGGAAGAATGTCTTATGATAAATACACCAGACTCCGTATTTAGTAATTAAACACGTATTCACCATTGTTTGTATTTACTGATGCTCAATATGTTTGACTTCAAAAGTCAGCGTAGTGCTCGATTTAATTACTTCACTTCTCACTTTAAAATGAGCATCCTAATGGATCACTTCACTTACCTTTCTTCCCTAATTGTCTAAAAGACTGTCTTATCAGTATCCTCGGCTATAAGATTATGTTTCCTTAATTTGGTTCGGTTGTTTGGATTCCTGGGTAATTTATCAATCTCCAGAGGGCTTTTATTTATTATTTATTTGAACACAAATATTGGTACAGAAGGGCACCGAATAAATATGCGCCACATGAACCACTCGATTCGTGTGTGGGCTATGATACTACCTGGGTGCCCAATCCGGAGCAGGTGGTTTTCTTAGGGGGTCACACCCTAACCAAGTAGTCTGCATCTACCAACATGACTCAAACTAGAGGTTAGTGATTTCACTGACTGATGCTACGTTTTAGTTTGGCCGCCCTTAACTTTCTTCCAATCATCCCCTGCACTAGTCAGCATTGTGCGTCGTCTTAGTGATCTAAGAGCGTGACCGCAGTGCCCAAGGGACAACTGCTTGAGGTCGGTCACACACGACCTTTTTATGGGTAATTTTCGTGTTAGCTCCGTACTTGCTGAGGCCTTACCACCGGAGACGGATATCCATGGGACAAGGCGAGGTGTGCATTTTAGAGTCGACCTTTTCTAACCTCACCCCTCCTTGTGGAAGGTAGTATCGCTGTTATTCTGGTTTTCTGAAGAAAACACCTTACTGTCGTTACACCTCTGTACAGTCAGCAGTACGACTTCGTTCTCGGACCTTAGGTTTGTTGCTTTTATTCTTACTGCTATTCAAACAACCTGTCTGACATGGTAGGACGTTGAGGACTTATTATTCTAGCCAGTATAGCTCTATTGGTTCATCACGATAGACAGAGAGAAGATAGTGAGTAGGACTTCCTCGGCAGTGGCTGTATACGCATGGTCATGTGAGAGCATTTGGATAGGAGAAGCTGACTCTCCTCATCCTCGGCCGTATCAGAACATTTGGGGGCTGGATACAAGAATTCATCTTTGTCAGCAAGGTTCGAGGGTGGAAAATGCGTGAGTGTATCTGACATGATGAAATCCATATGTAAAACCATCTTCACACTTCCATATCTATCAAAATTTCACCATACCGGTATAGTGTGAAAAGAACGTCATTGTCTCCGGCACTTTTATTTTAACACATAAATATTGGTACAAGGAGGCACCAAATACATATGCGCCACACAAATCTCATTCGATATGTGTGAGGGCTGTCATATTGCCCAAACCAAAGCAGGTGGTTTTCTTAGTGGGCCACTCCCCGAGCCTTCGACCTGGAGGTCCGATCTACAAGGCAATGGAACATCGTAAGGAGGTGCAGTCCCATGGTAGCCGGTGACCAACGATTGGTTCATACGCCATTTATTCCCAAAGGATACTGGAGCCCATATGCACCACTGATTTGGAATCCGGTTAAAGCGCCGGATATTCGCTTTTCTTCCTCCCATTTTCGTAAACAACACCCCCGACACGAGAAGGCAGTGATTAGGACTTCCCTGGCAAAGGCTATATACGCGTGGCCATGTGAGAGCATTTGGAGAGTTAGAGCGGACTCTCCCTACTCTCGGCCGTACCAGGGTATTTGGGGGCTCCGACACTAGGTACTGTACAACATCAATTATTAGATAGTTGTTTCATTGCTGAGGAGTTTGACATACGTATATCTTCGTCTAGATTTGCACAATCCTTCATACAGTTTAGGTTTGTATGTTTTATGAAGGTGAGGATTATTGTCAGAATTAGGTAAAACCGAGAGGTTTTTACTACTTGGTTCGATGCACAGTCATTAGTCCGTATAATCCGAACACACCAGTGCTTAAGTTTAAAATATTGAAGTAGTTTATAACCGTATGTGTAATCTATCTTCAGACCATGTTATCCAATGGCTTAACTGGCTCGTTCATTTACCTCTCAGTAATACAGATGAGATCATAATTTATGGATGACCTTGATGCGATGCTAATGTAACTTTGAGAATATTCAGCTTCTTACTAGAGTTAATAAAGGGTTGTAAATTAGTGCGTATAACTAGTACTAGAATTTAAAGTTAAACGTTAGGGTTAGTAATTAGAGTTAGTGTTTTCACCGTGAATTGACATCATTTCTAATGCCAAAGTGCTACTTTACCATATGGATGAATAGATTTCGCGTCAAAATCCAAGAACCGCTATCTTAAATCTCACTGGTTTGTTCAGAAATTAGTCTTACGTGTGTCTTTTTCATGCCCCACCTCAAAGATTACATACGGCAACCAAATATTAGCAGGAAAAGGCTTATACAATATACTGGCCTTTCAATATATATATAAGCCTTCACATTTACAGTATGGCTCGTACTCAAGTACCTGGTGAATGAGTCACGTGTATATTTCAATCGTCAGTATACACCTAGTCGTCATCTCGTTTGATGTGGTATTTAGATTTCTAAGTGTGTTAAAGATTGTTGTATACATTATCCATTAGAACTTTCTAAAGTTGGTTTGACTAAGATGCAGTAAGAGAGATCATGTTTCAGTCCCTAATAAGTTGTTATTTTTGTCCCTGCTTGTGTACGTTTATATACCATCTAGTCAAACAGGTGGTTTTGTTATGGGAGGAGTCTGTTTATCACGTTTGAAGTTTTGTTATTCAACACTGATCAAACCACTTTTATCTTCACAACATTTCAGTCCTGGTCGAGCTGGCATTATCTTACTGAAGTAAAGTGATGCATTTTATATGTCTTGTGTTTCTTTTTCAACAGTTATTACCTCGTTGGTTTGAACACTACTTTTGAACAGATTTTTCTCAGTGTTCAGTAAATGAGGCAAAAAACTAATTATGATCCCTAGGTTTTAATCTAGTCATCATGGTAATTTATGCTGATGTTGGTACATTGGTGTTGAAGTGATCGTAATTAGACGATTCACTTTCATGGGTAGACCATTTATTGTAGTTGTAGTTGCTGACATTGTTACAGGATTCGTTTCTTTTCTTCAACAACTAATTAACGGAAAATTTTGTGTTAATATTTTTCTTATTCAGGCTATGAATTGAGCAAAATTGAAGGTAAATCTGGATCACCTGAAAAACCGCTAAGTGATTTGGGTCTATTATCTTATCGTTCTTATTGGGCTCAAACAATTCTTGAATTGTTACTAAACTCTAAAGCAACAGAAACTGGTCAGGATCCAGCATTAAGTATAAAGTAATTAAACTCATTCATTGTATCTATGTATCTTTTCGCAAGTTGAATCCTTCTATAGAGAATTAATTCTATGACTTAAGTATAGTATAACTTGATGCTTTACACTAGTTGTCCATAGTTCGTTTCAGGAAATCTCTCATCTCTGCTTTACTTTTCCACTGCTAACTAGCAACTTCCAATGTATTCGACAATTCGTCTTTATCAATAATTCTCTCATGGGAGGCCATGGGTTGACTGAGATGTGTTGATTTCTCTTAATTCAGCCATTTCTTTTGTGTAAATGCTTGTGGATCTGATTTCGAATAACAGGACACCGATAAAATAAGACTACTCTTATCTCTAACATCAAAATACTCAAGGCCTTTTTTATTTACCTACTTACGCCTGTTACCCTTCGTGGAGAAACATAGGCCACCTACTAGCACTCTCCATCCAGCCCTGTCTTGGGAAATCCTCTCCCGTTGCTATTCATCCTTTTCATGTCTGCTTCCAATCGACGACGTGGTGTGTTATTTGGCATTGCTCTTTCCATCTCCGCAGGATTCCAAGTTAGCGCTTGCCTCGTGATGCAGTTTGGTGATTTCCGTAATGTATATCCTATCTACTTCCAACGTCTTTTCTCAATTTTCTCTTCAACAGGAGTTGGTTTGTTCTCTCCCACAGTAGGCTGTTGCTGATGGTATCCGATCAACGGACATTGAGTATCTTGTGTAGACAACTGTTTATAAGTACTTGTAGCTTCTTGATGATGGTTGTAGTAGTTCTCCGAGTTTCAGCTCCATACAGTAGAACTGTCTCGACGTTAGAATTGAAGATTGACTTTACTATTGGTTGACAGTTGTTTTGAGTTCCATATGTTCTTCAATTGTAGGAATGTTACCATTACCTTGCCAATCCTTGACTTTATGTTTGCATCAGGTCCTCCTTGTTCATCGATGATGCTTCCCAGGTACACGAAAGATTCCACATCTTCCAGAGCTTCTCCATCAAGTGTGATTGGGTTGATGTTAACTGTGTTGTGTTTGAGGATCTTGGTTTTACCTTTGTGTATATTAAGGCCTACTGCTGCAGAGGCTGCTGCCACACTGGCTGTCTTCACTTGCATTTGTTCATGTGTATGCTATAGAAGGGCCAGGTCATTTGCGAAGTCCAAATTTTCTAACTGATTCCGAGCTGTCCATTGTATTCCATGCTTTACCTTAGATGTCGAGGTCTTCATAATCTACTCGACCACCAGAAGAAAGAGGAAGGGGGAGAGTCTTGTCTGACTCCGGTCCTTACCTGGAATGCATCTGTCAGTTGTCCTCCATGCACAACTTTGCATTGTAGTCCGTTGTATGATTGCCGGATAAGGCTGACGATCTCAGGTACACCATAGTATTGAAGAAATTTCCATAATGTTCTCCCATCCAGGTCCTTTCCTGGTCGCTTCGCTATGATTGATTGCAGCCTCTCGTAGAACAGATCTTTATCGTCATCATTGCTATCATTTGTGGGTGCACAACATTGGATAACATTCACTGTAATTTCCTCCTTCTTTGTTTTGAAGGATGATTTGATGATTCTGGATCCGCGAGATCTCCATCCTGTAAGTGCGTTACGTGCTTATTTGGACAGCATCAGAGCAACTCCCTGAATGTGTGGAGCATTTCCCTCTTCGTGACCGGAGTATAACAGCATCTCTCCCGTATCTAACCTTTGCTGTTCAGCTTGGGTCCAATGGGTTTCGCTGATTCCGAGAACCGTCAGGTTGTATCTCCTCATTTCTGTTGCTATTTGACTGGTCTTCCCGGTCTCCCGCATTGTTCGAACATTCTCTATACCTATAAAAATAGTTGTTCTGGTTGTTAGAAGAGGCTTCGGCCTAATGACTTCCGAAAAATCCTGGCTTTCATCATGAAGCACCATAATTTTTCCTTCAAATCGGAGGACAGAGTTTAAACGGTTTAAATTGTTTATTCTGGTTGACGTTTTCGTAGCAAGATTTTTTTCTATGGGATGGGGTTGCCGACCCCATACCCAAACGTCTTCCTTTACCTGGGCTTGAGACCGGCAGTAACTCTAGAAGAGCTACAGGTGGCGGTTTAGACAAACAAGAAGCCTTCACACTTATTGTTGCTGTACATAGTTTATCCATCCAGAACTGGTATCCTGACAAGGCCCTATCGAGCTACATTGCAACGTGTGTTTATTTATCCAACCTCATGGATGTCGTCTCTTGCAGATTTAGATAGTTGACGATCAGTACTTTAATTGGAACCTAAATTCATAGTCCCATGTATCCTGTTTAGCTAGATCTTGAGACCCAGCATTTTCTCAAACATACCCCTCTATATCGTTTTTTTCGAACATGTTTCCAATGTCAATCATTCTCACTATCATTCCTGCTACAATTATATTCAATTCCTTTGGCATCCATTATGTTAAATTTCTTTTGTCGCGCTGATGTGCTTTGGCAAATTAAGCTAAAGTACATTTGTGTCGGGCTTTATGCTAATTACCATTGACTAACCATTAACTTCAAACATTAAGAGACATTAAGTAATTTATATCTGTTGACATTAACACAACTATAGACACAAATAGATCTTACGGTTACTATTCGTTATTAGTGAAAATTACTGGGAGATGTCCTCTTTTGGTGGAAGTTCTTGGAGTTCAATCACACTAGTTCATGTTCGTTTATGTAGTTAAGCATAAATGGATGCTGAAATTAGACACATACCAACTCATGCTTAATTTCTTTGATAAGGATATGAAGCTTCTGTTCGATGAAAGATTATTTAAAGAGTTGATGAAATGTAGTAATAACCTTTGTCCCAATTTTCTGTGATGTATCATGCAGCCTGGTATATGAAGACCAGAGAAGACAATTTACAGCTCGCAACTGAAGGTCATTGCTAACGGTCTAAATATCTGTAACCTCATTTAGACTAATTTATGCTTCAAGATTCATTCAACGTGGCTTTACTGTAAGGTCAAGTGTAGAAAAACGACTTGAAGCGATGTTGAGTAAACGTTGTTATAGGATGAAGTAACTTTGTTAGTTGCCATTTAAATTAACGGCACTAACTCCTGAGATGATGGAATATTGACGTTAACCCTACTGGAAACTGCTTATTGACTAGTGTGACCAAAAGGACGAATATATATGAAACAGGGTCTGAGGCAAATGTTGTCACACTTCTGAAGTATCGTAGAAACAAGGTGTGTCAAAAATAAGATATTGGGATTGAGAAATAAGAATTGTGTTGTGATACTGTTTCCACGACCTCGAAGATGAAAAGACTATACACCTATACCACTGAATCGATTTTAGATCAGTTCAATTTACTCAAACCTCAACTTGGAAACCTATCTAGCTCAAGCAAAACATCTATGGCTTTACGAACTAGTAGTGTTTTTTTGGTTTGACTACATTTGTGACCTACTCATATTCTAGCACAATCTACCATCTTTAAGTTACTTCCGACAACATTACCCACTTGATAGTTTCGTCTTTTAAAAGAAATGCTTCGCATACATGCTTGATCGAATAATTGTCAACTACCCATGTCATCTGTCTTCGAAGAGTATATTTTTTCAAAACTGAAATTAAATCTTATCAGATTAATGGCTAACGTTTTGACTTACTCCAAAGCAATCTGACCTTTTGCCTATTTCACAAACAACATAAATTGGAGGAATCTAGATAGTCTTTTTGTTCCTAACCTCAGTCGTAGATTTACATCGAGAAGTTGTCGATTTAACCAAGTGTTTCTCATTTGGTAGATGGGAAGCACATCCAAAAAGTTTTTTGATTGTTACTCGTATTCAGGAGAGTGCACTATTCTAACTTCTTAATCAAACAGGATTATAGTACCTGGATACTTCAAGTAAGTTAAAGTATCGTCAAACAAGAAAGAAAATGAGTGTTAACTCGAGAAGTATATTCACTATAAATTTATTGAACGTGCTTAACTCTGATAACTTCCACTTAAAGTAACTAATTCAAATAAATTTTAACCATGATTCCTAACCACGGTCATTAATATTCAAATAACAAACTTTCAATAGGGTAATTTACATTTTTGTTACTTCTTCCAGTTTTGTCTATTTATTTAAACATAAATATTGGTACAACGGGTCAGCAAAATATATATGCGTCTCACAAACATTTTGTGAGGGCAGGGGTACCCCCTGGTTGCCCAAACCGGAGCAGATGGTTTTTTCGGGGGGCCACTCCATGAGCCTTTAACCAGAGGTCTGATCTACAAGGCAGTGGAGTAACGTAAGAAAATGCGGTCTTATGGTAGCCAGTTACCAAAAATAGTTTCACAAACCATTTGTTCCTTAAGGATCTTGGTTCCCATGTGCCCCGTTGGTTCGGAATTAGTTTTTCAAATCCTCTAGGTGGATACTCCGTACCCACGGACACGATTAAAGCTCCAGACATTCTCTTTTCGTCCTCCCGATTTCGTAAACAACCCACCCGCGAGAAGGTAGTGAATAAGACTTCCTTGGTAATGACTATACACCTAGCCATATGTAAGCATTTCAAGAGGGAGAGTGAACTCTCCCTACCCTTGGTCTCTTAGTTACGGGACTGTATGTAACCTTTAGACCAGGTAATACTGTAATGAGCGAGAACATAGATGGAGACAATCAATGTATTTTAATACAAAATTACAGAGTTCTTTTGTCAAATGTGAAAACCATACATCCAATACTTCATTTGAGAAATCCTCATCAATTGTCTCAAACTTCACCGTTTTCTTATTGCCATAACTATTACTCTCTGTTCTCGTTCTCTTCGATTCGATCTTCTCAACCTTCTGCTACCAGGCCTTCAACTTTTGCTTGGTGTTATATACTACTTATGTCTGTCGACATAAGTAGCATACATCACAATACAATTACAATGGAATATTCATAAAGTTGACTATAATTCATAGTTTAACGAAGATTAAAAATCTTCTATTTCAGTTTAATCGAAATGAATTACTATCAGATACTAATATTGACAATTACATTTATTAAAATGAGAGTTCAATACTTCTACTAAAGTGAAAAGATCTTGTATTGTTTCAAACATTAAATAAGCGATGGTTTACCTGAACGTTCGCGTCGTAATTTTCTTAAATGTTCAGTAATTGGTGTAAAATTTTCTTGTTTTAGTTGACTAGTTATATTCAATATTATGTGAACTTGCTCACGTATATACTACAAATCTTATTGGGGAATTCAAGTAAGTATCACAATTCTAAAAGTGTAAGAGTAAGTTGAAAGAAAGTTAGGAGAGAGGTCAAATTAAGACGTGAAATTATTGACAACTAAATTAAATCATGTTAGCAGGTATAGATGACCTACCACCTGATTGAGGCCCCTGTGATTATTGTGACAAATGGTTACAGAATTTGTGTGATATGGCTCAGTTGCATTTACTCTTTGTTTTTTTCTGGAATTTGGATCCAGAAATCGCCATATACCTTGATTTCTCTTCTTCTAAACCTAATCTTTCCTACTACTACTAATCTTTTTATTACTTCTACTACTCTGGGATTTGACTTGAAATGATCTTATCTCACTATGCTAATTGGCTATGGCAACTTAGACCGATGTACATATGTGTCGGGCTGTACTTTGCATATTTTCTTTCTCCCCCTTAACTGTTTTCTTTGGCGAACCTTAAAGGTGATTACCATAGAATTCATATATCAAATATATTCAATGATGAGAAGAAATGTCATGAAAGCAATATTTTCATATAATTGCAAATCAGTCAGAGTGCTATTAGAGGTGTGAGTGCGGTTATCATCTCCTGGTTACCCACATCGTGGAAGGGTTCTTCTAGAAGTACCTGAAAAGGAAATTGGGTTAGAGGTGGTCTTAGTGACCTGAGAGCATGACCGTAGTGCCTAAGGGACAACTGCTTCAGGTCAGTCTCACACGACCTTTTTATGGGTAATTTTTGTGTTAGCTCCGTACTTGCTGAGAGCTTACCGCCGGAGACGGATATTCATGGGATAAGGTGAGGTGTGCATTTTAGAGTCGACATTTTCTAACCCCACCCCTCCTTGTGAGAAGGTAGTATCGCTGTCATGCTGTTTGTCTGAAGAAACCACCTTACTGCTGTCACACCTGTACAGTCGGCAGTACGACTTCGTTCCCGGACCTTGGGTTTTGTTGTTTTTAGTCTTACCGCTTTTAAACCGACCTGTCTGACATGGTAGGACGTTGAGGATTGTTCTAGCCAGTATAGCTCTATTGGTTCATCACAATAGGCAAGCCCGGCCACCACGTTAAGGTTGCAGCAACGGTCAGATATCTATAATTGCAAGTAACAGATATGCATCGTTCAAACATTTTTCATACATGTGTTTTTCAGTATTCACAAGTTGATTACTTAGAAAATGGGGATTTCGTTGTGATATTGAATATTTTGTACTGAGAAGTATATAATGTTTGATAAAGTAAATATTATTATCGTTATAAATCATTACTATATTAAAAGTATATAAAAAAACTTTAACTGTATAACATGTTTATCATTAGTATTCATGCATAGTAATAAGAAAGTGTCAAAACAACATGTCTGATAGTGTTCCTTTTTTTCTCTCTCTCTCTCTTCAAATTCTATACTGATTTTAGTGATATTGTTGATAGAACATGTATTAAACGAGATGATGTAATTGCTACCTTATCTCATTTAAATGTATTATACTATGTGAAAGGACAACATGTTATCTATTTATCACGTGATCTTATACAAGCACATCAAAAAGCTATGCAACGTCGTAATTTACGTGTTGATGCAAAATTACTTAATTGGAAATCAAGAGATTGGAGTAAACGTGGTCGATGGTGAGGTGGTTTTCTTCCCATTGGAGGAAGTGAAGGTTGGCGGAGCACTACATTCACAGGAAAAATGTGTCATATATATAAATATATATTCCTGTGTGTATTTATGACGTTTTCCCTTCGTATCAGTTTGTCATCAATAACCATCAATGAATAGTTAGCTTTCATCAATGTAATATAAATTAGATGAAGAATACAATAATTACTATGTATTACTAATTGTTGGTTAAATGTAGTGTGATACACTATTTAAACTAGTTCAGATCGTGTTTTGAAATGTGAATTGTTCAATAAATTACTTCTAGTTGTATTTATGTTTATGTAGATGTGAAACAGGTTTTGTGTTATTTAATTTAATAAAGAAATGTAATAATAATAATAATAATCAGTAAATGCTTCTATTCTTGAACTCGTCAGCTGGATTTACATGCATCTCAGAGTTAATGTTCATTCTGGGACTCGAACCCAATATCGTTCGCTTTAAACGTCATCACGTTATCCACTTACCTGTTGAGTCTTGATAGTCACTTGCTTATGCAATGAGGTGACGAGTCCCAAATAGGATGAAACGCGCGTCAAACTGGATTTCAATGCTAGTCAAGATTAATTCAAATATGAGTTCTACGTCTAATAGCAACCGATGGTTAGAGACCCTGAATGACATGGCTCAAAATCGTTTGCAATGGCGCAGGTGCATCCATTCTTTGTGTTCTCACAAATTTTGGTCTCCTTATTCCTCCTTCTCTTTTTTTCTCTTCCCAAGTTTATTTCACTGTATTATACTCTTTAAATAACATCTCCAAACACTAATTTTCCCGATTACTGCTTATATTCTTATTACCTCTACCACTACGGGATTTGAATCGACCACTGCATCTCTATGCTAATGTGGTGTGGCAACTCGAACTGATGTACGTACGTAAGAAGTTCTACGTTGTTACTGACTGACTGACTAATATCTCTGGAAGAGTTGTGATTGTATATTGTCAAGTGCATTATTTAAATACTGTTTCTGATGTTAACTTGATCACTGGGCTAATTATTTCTTTAAAATCATTCTTTTAACTGAGTTATCCTATTGGTTAGAACTACTGTTTGTTCAACTGAGTTAGTGTTCATTTATCAACAGGATATTTTTTTCAAAGATAGTCATGATCGGTTACTGGCCGTTTAACTATTAGTTAATCGTGCAGAAAGTAAAAGCTATATATGAAAGCTTTTCGAATAGAATAATGAAAAGTATCAATATAGGGGTTTTCGAGATTATTGAACTGTGAGGACAGTCCACGGGTGAACTCGAGGAAGCCCTAAGAAACTCAGAAAGATCTGAAGATATTCGATCCAATCATCTTTTGGAAGAATACCCCAGAATCGCTACGTCGAGCTTCCCTGTTAGAGGACTATAATGATGATTTCGTTTTTACTAAAAACTATAAATACCTGACTGTTTTGTACCATAATTGAAACTTTGCAATAGCATACCTTTCACTTGTCTTCTCATTTGGGACTTCGGAGGGTTCTAGCGTTCGAGTGCTCAAGTTATATATATATAATGTATTAAGGACCTAAAGCTCTAGATGTGACACGAGCATTATAGACATTACAAGCTAACCTATGATATCAATTGGGAATCACGAAAAACTAGTCAGTTGTTCGTTCTAGGATTCAAGATGGTTACACAATATCTCAAACTGATTGGATTTAGACCTACAAACGACTGGATGCCGACTTAGTAGCTTGGAAGCCAAGTGTTCGCGCGTGAAACTGAAGGTCCTGTGGCCGATCCCCAGTAGAGACGTCGTAGGCGCGCACTGCTGAGAAGTCCCGTACTAAGACGAAACGGTTCTCCAGGATTTCAATAGTTGTTTAAATTTGGTCGGTTCGTAATATCAATCCTGTATAAAGAAATGTTCCAGGAACTATTTCACATATATATTTTTGTATAGTTAATGAACTGTCAGGTAGTTGTGAACATCGACAAACATAGCACAAATATGAATTGGTCGTTGCTATCACAATAAAGCAACGAAAGGAAATCAATATAAGAGTTTCACTAACTGACGATATGTTTTCATCTAATCTTCTGTAGATATATGAATTGAACGGATAGTGATCGTGATTGCTGTTGTTACATTTAACGTTATTCTTTATATGCGCTTCTCTTATAAATATTGTACAAATCCTCTTAAAAGATGTCTAACATTACGTATTATAGGGAAATGGTGTTGATTAAATCTGATTTCTAAAAAATAACGTGTCACCGTTACAAGGCTTGTACTGATTGTTTATTTGAAACGTATGAATAATAAGTTAATACTAACATTTCCGAGTTCTGTTATGATGGTAACTAATTTTGAATTGATAGAAAATACCACTTGTTCATTAAATATCAAGTTGTGCAATCTGTTTTGAGTCATCACTGTTTATTGATATTATAGGCCGTCGAAGCCGGTGTAGATGAATTAGTGCGTTTTGAAACTGAGACCTCTGTTGATTGAAAGATGAGTTTCCTGTCTATTCAGCCATCGGTTCACTAAATCCTAGTTTATAACATATTGTCTTGCAAAAATATTCAAGATTAAAATATAGAAATGTATAACGAATATTTTGATAATTGAATAATTACGGTGGATGTAATGGGGAGAGACTATGTGATTGTATAGTAATACAAAAGATTATCAATGATATTTAAAATAGAGTTTATTATCAAAATGAATTCTAAAAGGGGCACCGAATGCATATGCGCTACACGGACCACTCGATTTGTGTGTGGGCTATCATACTGCTCGGGTGCTCAAACCGAAGCAGGTGGTTTTCTTAGGGAGGCACATTCGGAGCCTATGGCCTAAAGGTCTAATCCACAAGGCAGTGGAGCAACGTAAGGAGGTGCAGTCTCATGGTAGTCAGTGATCAACGATTGGTTCATACTCAATTTTTTCCTTCAGGATCATGGAGCCCATATTCACCTTTGGTTAGGAATCAGAGTTTTCCAACTCCCCTAGGTAGATCCTCTATATCCACCAACTCGGTTGAAGCGTCGGAAATTCGCTTTTCGTAAACAACACCGTCAATAGAAGGCAATGAGTAGGACTTCACTGGCAGAGGCTGTATACGCGTGGCCATGTGAGAGCATTTGGAAAGGGAGAGCGGACTCCCCACTCTCGGCCGTACCAGGGCATTTGTGAACTAATCGATAAAGAAAATCTATTCTTTCATGCATATCTTGTGACATCGAAATTCATCATCTATATGACTAACTGAAGAGTGTATAGGTAGTCGTCTTACAAGGTACAGCTATAACCAATGCATCGTCTTTCGTAGGTGCCATTTCATTGACCATACAATCAGTGTTCCCTCTAGTAATGATATGACAATATGGTTATGATTAGAGAATCACCTTCAGGCTTATAAGATCTTTAAAAGTAAGATGATTTTAAATCAAATGGATGAGATTGTAATATCGACGAACCAAGCATGAACATTATTAAGTTTATTCGTAATGTAATAATCGGATAAAATTTCACTTTTAGAGTTGCTCCAGGCTGTCAATATAGCATAGCTTCATCATTTAGTCGAGTGGTTTGTACCCATAAAATGAATGTTATAAATTCATCTTACATAATACAGGAATCATGCGAACACATACTAGTGTATAGGTGTGTAGTTTAGTTATTATGTGACCAATCCAGACTGATTTGTATTGATGATATACGAATCAACAGTAACTATGATTACTGTCCTCGAGACGTTATCAGAAGACAATATCTACCCTGTGACTTCAAAGCATTCGTTATTTAGAAAAAAAAATCAGTCTTTATATTCGTTTTCCAGCCATACAAAGTTGCAATGTGAATTGATTTATTGCTTTGTACTGATTGGTTTAATAACAGAATAGGTCACTCAGTAAGGTTATTTCGATCATATTGTAGCATGAATGAAAATTTAGAGTAGAAAAATTGGTAAAAACATACTGCATGGACAAGCTAGTTGGAATCAAGAGTGTGGTATTTAGGTTTATGTTCTAAACTCAAATATAATGTGCTAGCAGTAAAATTACCTTTGTATACTGCTCAAAACGGGGGGGGGTCAAAGTCTGATTTGCACTTCCGCGTTGTGATACCTAAATAGTGGGTGATCTTTTCCCCATGAACTAACGCAAGCGGTACAGCGGAGACCGGAATAATCAACCACTTTGAAGTCAAATGAAAATTGGGATAATCATCCAATCTATCTTAACCTTGATTACATGAGAAGAGAGGTCGACTTGAATTTGGAGTACGACTGAGGCATTGGATAAAATTTTCCTTTCGCTGTCTGAAAAAACAATTCTGGAATGGTCCATAAGGTCTCTTAGGGACAAGTGAAAGCGTGGATTGTAAGCTGTGCTGTAGATAGTGTACAGTGGGTGATATTAAATCGCCTTGTGGTAAGAGCGCGAAGTGAGCACATCGTCTATGACGACTTACTTACATACTGGTTTCAATACTCGATATTCATTCAGCGAAAACTCTTCTGGACTTGGGGGCCCGGGCGTTCGCATCTATACCTATGTGTTTACTGTGGAGTGTATGAGCCTTGGTTTATTCTATATATGCATGTATCGTATACTTACGAGGGGAAATTTCCATGTCTATATGTATTCGTAGGAGGTGTACATATGCCTACGCTTCCTGTAATCACAAGTACAGCATATTAGCAACCGCGCCCATCTACGTCAATATGTATATCACTAGGATGTTTGTTTCTTTAATAACTGCATTCGAATATATGCATATGGAGTATACAAAGTTTCCACGTCTCAACTGGCGGACACAATAGTAGATCATCAGCGCGTTTGGTTTGCATAGAAGCTCACAAAAGTGATAGGAAAAGAGTAGCGTGGGTCAATAAGAATATGTCTTCACTACATAGTGTGGGCCAAGTTAACTGCCCATACTACTGATATCATAAACCCTGTATAGACATATTCTTCAGTGTCCAGCCTCACTGCGTTTTCAATGCTCTTCTCTAGAGAAAGAGCCATGGGGCCTTTTCACTTCGTTGGGTGGCTAAATGAACTGCTCAAAACTATAACAGAAAATTGTTTTTCATAACCATAGAGTAAAAATGAGCGTTAAACGTATTGCGATGAACGAGAACACAAGTGAGGACGATCGAATGTAATTGATCACAAAATTACAGAATCTCTTAGTAAAATTCGAGAACCATAAAGTAAATAATTCATTTTACAAAATGTCAATCAATCGTCTCGAAATTAATTGTTCTTTCGTCTCCACACCAATCATTCCCTGTTCTCGTTCTCTTTTCTTCGATCTTCTGCCACCAGGCACTACACTTTCGATTGATGATATATTCTACTCATATCTGTCGACATCAGTAGCACGCATCACATTATCAAATGCTTAATTTTATCTCTTCAGATTATATATATCAGACGAATTGACTTTATCTCTAGATCTTATCTAGTTTTCTACAGAGCACAGGTAATAACAAGGGTCGTACAGTGAAGGTACCATCCAATTCCGGATGAAACGGAGCGGACGTATCATTAATAAAAGAATATATTCTTTTTATTGAATAATTTAATAGTATAACGAAGATGTTTCCATTCCAATATTCTTAGGGAATTCAATACCTAATTGTCCAACATAAGCGACATACATATTCGAAATGTATTAATTAGTGAAATATAGGAAAAGATTTTCCTTCTATTTGGAACTTTGATGCGCAAAGCATCCCAGTGTTAATATATACACCTAAGATTCGAAAACTGACAACTTAGGCGATTAGACTACTGAGTAATATTGAGTATTTCTGCGCCTATCGTGACTCATTAATAATGAGTGCAAAGTTTCGGTTTCATTTTGAACATCAGCACTGGAATCCAGGTACGTTTGAATGATAAATCCTATATAAGATATGACATTCGTCCTAGGTTCCATTGGTAGGTAGTAAAAAGAAACAGAATAACGTACATCATTAAAAATAAGTATTTATCACGAGAAATCAATGTCCGTCGTAAACGTACAGTGAAAACTATGTGGCATTAGACGGATTCTTCAATAGTCGGCACAGTTTCCTGCCTAGGTATGTTATATTTGCGGTATATACGTGGTGTATTGGTTAAGATTGAATCATTATGTACATAAATCATAAGTATGTATATATTTGTCGCTTTTGTTCTAGACGAGGACAGGTAGACTAAGAGCATTGATGTGAGCTACTTTACTTCCTCCCATACCGTACTTCACGCACAATCTCTCACTTAACACTTGACCCTGCGACTATACGCAATTGTCTGGTTTTTGCATCATCGTTTGACATGTCTAGACACATTTGGGCTATCATTCACTCATGTCCCCAACAGGAATTAAAATGTATTAATTAAGTGCATTCATTTCACGTAATTATGTTGAGTATGAAGCGTTTTACATTGTTAATTAGATTCAATTCATAATATCGAATGGTTGTAATCCGCTACTACTGTTGATACTTATCATGCATTTGACAGTTGTAATACACCAGTCACGAATTCTAACAGCTTATTTTCGATTACGTCACTAATGATTAAATGATTATGATTTTGCTGAATAAGTTATGAAGATTAGTTTCATATGAGAAAAGTTTTGAACAGAGAAAGTATATCCACGAACTGACATAATCTATAATGCCAAAAGTCTATTTAACCAAATGGATGAGTGAATTTCGCGCCGAAATTCAAAACCTGTTATCCTAAATCTGATTGATTCGTCCATAAATTATAGTCTCACCGATGTTAGATAAGGATGAATGATTTGTATTTCGATTACTTATTAGTTATTCAGTCGAATAATTGATGGTTATCTCAGACTTCTGGCCTATATATTGTATGAATATTACACAGCACTTTTACGTCTTAACTTTTCAAATAAATATTTGTATCAGAAGGGGTTTTTGTGGATATTATAGTAATTTCAATAGTTGAATTCATGAGTCAACTGAAACAATTGGAAGCGTTCGCGCGCGAGACCGATAGATCCTGGGTTTGAATATCGCGAGGCAGGATCGTGAATGCGCACTACTGAGGAATCTCACAATAGGACGAAACGGCCGTCCAGTGCTTCCAGGCTTTCAATGGTGATCTAAAATCATCGGTATATGATCCCAATCAATTACATTTATAACTTCAATCCATCAAAAAGCTATCACTATAGGGAGATTTGTTGAGATTTTAAGATTTTCAGAGTTTAAATCACGAACGGATTATAAATTCTGCAATATTGTATGTTTGATTATATCAAGGACCTATTAACAGAAAATATGAAACGTTTTAAGAAACTACACTTATTATTCGTTGAACTTGTGAACGTTTAAATGAAGCAGTTTTTAGTTTAAAAAGTTTTGGCGGTTGTTGAATTTGGTAATTTTCATAGTTTAAAGATTGAACTGATCTTAACTAGACCACCATTAGAAACTAGGAAGCACTGGGTGGCCGTTTCGTTCTTGTATGGGACTCCATCGAAATCTAAAGCCACCACCCCGCATTTAAGAATCAAACTTAAGGTCCTAGGTCTTGTGTGTGAATGCCTAATCCCTAGACCAATGAGCCGTCATCCAGTAGTGTACATGTCTAACTTTAATAAATTCACGATATTGTGCAACCCTCGCCTATTGCCCGTGGAGGAAAGCTGACTCATATCCTATATGGTAAGAATCTACTAGTCACAGCTTTTCACTAGAACTTTAGGAGTTACGTCTTGAAGCTAGTTACTAGTGGGCAAATGAAGTTAGACGTGTCCACCATTGGAGTGACGCTCGGTAGTCTTAATGTTGGCCTAAGAATAGTTGACATTTTAAACTATGAAAATTATAAAAGTCAACAATCATTAAGACCTTTTAAACTAAAAAAAAATGCTTCATTTAAACGTCCAAAAATTTCACATATCTGGGTAGCATCATCAGTGAACAAGGAGGACCTGATGCAGACGTAAAGGCAAGGATTGGTAAAGGCCGCATTCTTCTAACTGAAGAATATACGGAACTTAAAACAACTGCCAACCAATATCAAACTCAGAATATTCAGTACGAACGTCAAGACAGTCCTACTGTATGGAGCTGAAACGTGGAAAGCTACTACAACTAGTTGTCTACATAAGATACTGAATGTTAATTGACCGGACACCCTCAGCAACAGTCTGTTATGGGAGAGGATAAATCAGCTTCTATCTGAAGAGGAAATGAGGAGAAGACGATGGAGGTGGATAGGATATACATTAAAGAAATCACCAAACTGCATCACGAGGCACTTACCTGGAATCCCTGAGGGAAATGTAAAAGAGGAAGGCCGAAAAACACACTACCTCGTAACTTTGAAGTAGACATGAAAAGGATGAATAGCAACTGGAAACAACTGGAAAGGATTGTCGAAGACAGAGTTGGATGGCGAGTGCTGGTTGGTTGCCTATGCACCTCCATGAGGTGCAACAGGCGTAAGTAAGTAAGTTTTAAAAGGTTTCATATTTTCTGTTAATAATTCCTTGATATAATCAAACATACAATATTGCAGATTTTTATCATCTTAACTAGTATTACCTAAAACTAATTATAAGTACCATATAGTTGTAAGTTCCCAAAAAATGATTACATATTTATTATGCTACTAAGTTGATCGTGATTGGTCCTGGGTTCGAATCTCATGAGGTGGGACCATAAATACACATTGCTAGGGAGTCCCACAATAGGACGAAACAACCGTCTAGTGCTTCCAAGTTGTCCATAGTGGTCTAGCTTCAATTGACTCGTTCTATTTATCAATTAACTGTCTCAGGTATACAATATTACCTATTCAAATAATCATTTCATAACTTTTTTCTCTTTCCCTTTTTTAATGTTTGTTACTTCTTGTAAAAATCTACCAATCGGAATTATAAAATTATGGAATTTTCTCTGACTTTATTTAATGGAATACATTCCCCTCTCTGAAAGTTATGATGAAAACAATACACATTGAATCACTTCATGATTGGATATACATTATTGTCCTAGTATAGTAGTATCACTAATGCTGTTACATTTTTCAACTGACTCTCATGCATCATGTAAAAAACAAAAAAAAAAACAACAACAATAACAACAACAACAACAAAAAACAAACAAACAAAACAACAGACAAATGCATGAAGTTAGATTCCTCCCTCCCTTTATTCCTAAGTTAAAAATGATATCAATATTTACCCTTCTACCCCCCTCCCCCCTTCGCCTCTATTGACTGAATGATTAACTGATAGAAACTTTGTTTCCAACCTAATAATAACAATTGAATGAAAGTATAAATTAAGTGATTACACTGATTGTTTATTAAAATATCAACAATTGAAATTGTTAATTATTTGTTGTCATGAAAGACCATAAATATTCTATTAATAAACTATCATCTTGTAAAGTATCGAATGATTCAAGATCAAGTAAGTATATATATTTTACAAGTTAATGTATATTTGATGGTTATAAACATTCGACATTGTAGGTATCGGATTGTTTGAAACTTATCAGTAAAAGGTGTATCTATAGTCATGAGATTGATGACGGTACAAATGAGTTTCCAAGCCAACTGAAAATGATTATCAGAAGGGGGGGGGGTTGTGAAGATTTTAGTAATTTTAGTAGTTTAATTCATGAGTTGATCTAGGCTAGATCACTATTGAAAACCTGGAAGCACTAGACAGCCTTTACGTCCTATTAGGGGACTGTTCAGCAGTGTGCATCCATGATTCCACCCACAGGGTTTAAACCCAGGACCACTAGGAATTGTATCATAATGATTTGTTGGAATTTGACACTAGATGATTTTTGTTTGGATCAGACAGAAGAATGATTTTCCTCACTACGGAAAACACTCCCTAATGTATGTTTTCAGTTTGCACTAGATGTACGTTGGACTAGGATTTTTACTGGTTGCCTTTAATTACCTAATATGAGAACATAGTGCATACGTTTTTGAGTTATCGAAATTAGTGTCTACATAACGATTGGATTTGATTAGCAAATAAGACCAGATGGAAATAACATTCCTCATTATAAAGTGATTATTCAGCGTATATTTACAATGTATTTTCCAATTTAATAGTTGAATTCATGAGTCAATTGAAGATAGACCACTATGGAAAACCTGAAAGCACTGGACGGCCATTTCGTCATAATGTGGGACTCCTCAGCAGTGTGCATCCATAATCCCGCTTCGCGAGATTTGAACCTAGGATCTATCGATCTCGCGTGCGAACGCTTAACCTCTAGACCGGTGCTTCCGGGTTTTCCATGATGGTCTAGCTTCAATTGACTCAAGAATTCAACTATTAAATATCTATAAAACCCCTCTCTGATTATTATTTAGTCGTCAATATATGACTTTTTACAAATAGTTGTAAGTGTATTTTGTTGAGGAATACCAAATTGTGATGAAGCATTTTTCAAGTACCTACGGATTTCGTCAATCTATGATAAAAAGATTATTTCGTCATTGGGATCAGCTTTAGAGTCCATCCCACCTCAAATGACTTAACAACTATTGTATTAATGATAATAGTCCTACATGACTATCTGAACTCCCACAAAGAAATAGAACTAAATACCACTCTATGGTTGAAGGTGATTGCGAAGTATCTGTTTAGAAAGCTATGAAAACTTAGATGGTTTGGAGAAAGTGTAAGTTATTCAAGTAGACATGATCACAAGATAACTATTAAGTTTTAGTTTTATAGTTAAGAGAATTATTTAAGCCGATGAAATATAAGTTTGAAACTGAAGATAATTGAGAACATTTGTGGTTTGGTGTTATATTCTCTGAGATGGATGGTTGAGTTATGAAAATTTCGTTCCCTTTCTAGAGAACATCATCATAAATATACTTCAAAACTAAACCTTTAATATCAGAAAACAAAGTACCTCCAAACAGGTTTAGCCTTAGAGATTCTATTACATTTTAGAAGATATTTGAAGGAGGTTTATGTTACAGAATAACTTTAGCTAAATAAATATTAAAAGTTATGGAACAGTGCATAAGTGTTCTGTCCTAGTATGAGACTCACTAGCAGTGCACGATTATAATCTTTCCGGGGAACCTTCAGTTTTTTTAATAGTGAACATGTTATCTTTAGATAACTAAAATGGTATTTAAGGATTGACATTTTATACTTTTGTCAATTCTTGTTATTACACGAACATAATCAATTGTCGTCGATGATACTTATCTTGCCTTTCTAGTCATGGATTTTCAGTGGAGCATTTGGAAGTCCAGTTCGAATTGAAGGTTTTATTTATGTTACAACGGTTTTGTTGTTGATTTTTCAATTTCTTCAAGACATAGTCTCTTTTTATTATCTGAAATGAAGCTCTTATGAATTCATTCATTCTGTCCTTCATTCTTTAACATATATTTATTATTGGACGGAGTAAAGAGGTCGACAAGGGACCTTAGATCTAAATTATGATTACAATTGACTTCTAGCTTAAAGGAACATTTCAGATGCTTATTCCTGGTTTAAATACTACAGGTCACTATTAAGATTACAGATATACATTGCCAGGTATGATTATGTTTACTTCTGTGGCTTATTGCTGATTATCTTCAATCCTCTAATGTCGAAACATAGTGTAGATTTTTTCGAATTAGTCAGTTTTATGACCATATTGTAAATTGAGCTATGGAATTCAATTGACAATGCAAAACTGATAGGCATGATGTTAGTTATTACTTAATGGTGAGTTCATGTGAGTTTATGTATATGGCATTGCTAGTTGGCAAAAACGTTTTTACTGACATTTTCCATTTCTTAAATGGAATATAATTTCATACTTTTAAATATCACCCAACCACTATCTTATCCCAACATAGTCCACACAATGTCGAGTCACCTAGACTAAGGGTTACATTCCAACTTGATCGATAGCATTCGATCTACACCAAGAAGGACCTGACATACAAGATATTGACCACCACCTAGTGATCAATCAATTGTGAGAACATATCAGTCCTACAAGAGGTCACTCATAGCCCGGATAGCCCGTTGGTAACATCTCCGAATATGAGGTCGGGTGACACGGGGTCAAATCCGTCAGGGAGCAACATTTCCCTCAAGATTACAGGTACACCTTGATGACGAGTGCCGAATAGCACAAAACCTGGGTCTAGGGTTGGTTTTCCTTGTAAGCTTCATTACATTGAGCTATCCTCGTAACCAAATGGACTATTTGATTGGGTTGTTAATTAAATTTCCTCTGGTAGGTTGGGTTTAATTCAATGTGTCTAACTGATTACTGAGTGATCTGAATGCATTACTTCCAGAAATTCTCAGGAATTCCTAGAATGAAACGAGCCAGCTATCTGGACTAAAATTGTGAGAGAGCGGTACGATTATGCGACCTATCCATAATCCTGAAGGGATAGTATAATTGTCATTTGAGTTGATTTCAGCTCTTTTTTCCAGTACACTGTTTACACTAATTTATGGAAGAAATTTGCTGAGATTGAACGGTAGCACAGTTCTTTACAATAGTGTGCATTCAAAAGTCTACTCTAAATCAAACGCATATTCTGAATACTTTTTCGTAGGCATGATAATGATGAATTCTGATTCATAACTCATAACTTGACGAACATTTCTACTTTCTCATTGGATGGTCGTATACAGTCTGTCAAAGAGATTCATTTATAATCAACTCTCATTCTCGTAAATACTAATGTGTAATTAAACAAAAACATGTCAGTAAAATAAATTTATATAAATTTTGATTTTTACCAAAAAAGTCATTAGTAGATATGGATAGTGGCTCAAAAGTTGGATGTACCTGCATCTTAGAAGTGATGTTCACTCCGGGACTCGAACTCAGCACCGCTCGCTCCAGTTGATGAGTTCTAAATAGGAAGAACCTCATATCCCGAAGTCCATTGCTAGCCTCCATTCATCTCTTCTTATAATTCCTTTGATTTAAGGCAATATCGAGGCAATACACACAAGATCCACATACACTAAAAGAGAGTGATCATTAGCACTTCTAAACATCAATGGGAAGATTCAAACAAACAATACAAAATGAATTTGAACTTCACTTTATTTCACAAGCTAATGGCAAGTATAGAAATCTTCAAAAGTGTTCATCCACGATCCCACCGCTGGGGATAGAACCCAGGGCCTCCAGTCTTGCACTGGAATGTTTAACCTCTGGATCATTGAGTCAGGAACCGTTGATGTACAGGTCTAAATTTGATCAATCAGCGTTCATATATACACACTACTTAGGTATCCAGTTCATCCTAGTTTTCAGTGGTTGTCTAGCGTAGACTGACTTAGGATCTCAGTAATCAAATATAGTGTCGGGATTTTCGCTTGAGAACTGATAAAATTCTTTGATTCCCTGTCAGAAACTATAGTATGATCCTGAATTAAAAGATACCAAGACGTGGAAAAGGAAAAGTACATTCGAAGATCAAATGAAATTCGTAATCAATCATTGGTTATAAGTTAACTCACTGATTGTATTTCATTAGATTTGACTTGATCGAACGAGATCAGTATATCTCCTACTGTCATAAGAACTAGAATATGAGAAAATATGATGAGTAATAAGTAGTATAGACCCTAAAATGATTCATGGAGTAATGATGTTGTGAAATGTATAACCCTCTCAAAGGTTCAGTCATAAGATAGTATAAGGGATTAATTAGAATACAGTTGAATAGGACAGATATATATATTGGTTCTAAAGTTGTGCGATCTAGCATTGTTTAATAATACAAACTGAATAGATTCAACACTTAGTTTGACGGTGTATAAGGTATGTAAACAGATAAGTAACTGTAGATAATTGTCATTAACCCCAGAACCTTGGTGTCGTACTGGTTGGTGATCATATGCAAGTGCCTGGGTTGTGAACCAGCATCGTCTAGTTTTACGGTTTGGGACTTTATCACTAAAATTTCCAAATTGCAACCACCATCATGTACGGATAAGATATTTGCAGTGAATTACCTCTAAGAAATAACTCGTGTCATAACAATTCCCTCATTATTACTGGTATGACTTAATGACAAGTGGCAACTAACGACTACTACTTCCAATCAACTAACATCTAAGCATAGTGTACGTGATATTTAGTCACACTCGTCAACTCATTATCATAAACAAAGTATAACCTCAAGTATTGCAACTTGGTCAATAGAATTCGGCCAGACTTAAGGATTAAACAAACTGTTTCCTACTCAGTGATCGGCCAACATGAATATATTCAATATGAATTATTAAAGTTATCCGTCAGAGATCAACTAAAGAAATTAAGATAAAGACAATAATTCTCTGTTATTAGATGAAGATCCTACTATGTCATAAATTGACTGAAATAAAATGTATTACTGATTAGGTTTCAACCTACTTAAATCAAGCTTTTGCTTACTTGCTTACGCCTGTTACCC